AATCAGAGCCCCTGATTATTTAAATTGACTTATTATTTCAAAACCTACTATGTTCTAGTCATTATGGGAGCAAAAAAGGGAAACTGAATAAAATAATAGTTCTGATCTCTTGCTAGTGGGGAGGAAGGCATGTTTACAAGAAACTATGACACAAATTCTAAATGATAAGCAACATACAATGGACACCAATAAATGCTATGATAATACACTGAAGGGGAAGATTTTTTTTCCCCACAGGAATTATTAGGAAGGATATCACGTGGTACTGGTCCCTAGACCCCAAAGGATGATGTCTTAGGATTCTGGACAAACCTTTTCCAGACATAATCCCAAAATCTTTCTGGATAATATTTGAACAATCAAATTAAAGGTGTTGGAAACTAGTTATACTCCATACCCATTGTCAAAAACAATAAATTCTAAAAATTACAGATTGAAATAAAGTAGTTTAGGTTATAGAAAGGATGGTTTGTGAGCAATCAGGAAATTATAGGGACCAGCAGAGGCCCAGACAAATTCTACTTGCATTGGGACAGGGCTGACTAATAAAAGAGTACCAGGCTGAAGTCTGGGCAGGCTGAGCCCATTTTGGAGGTGCCAGAACTCCAAGGGGGAAAGCTAATGTATTAGTGGGAAGACTCCAAATTTGAAGAGTTTTGAAAGGCTGGAACCAAAGAGATAAAATGTAATAGGGATCATTGTAAAATCTTCTATATAAGTTGTAAAAATTCATTTGCAACACACATAATGAGCATCGTGTCCTCACGGGTGTGTGAGAAAGAGAATATCAAAAAATGACCAGTTTCTGCGCTCGGCCTTATTTAATAAAGGACAATAAGAAATCACAGGTCTTTCATAGGAGAGAGTCCCAGGAAGAGAATTACCTAGAAATTATGCTACCTGAGGAGGGATTGAGAAGATTAGAAACTTCAACTTGGAAAAGAGACAGGTGGCTTGCATCGGCATGGAGATACTCACATGGCTTATGAATGGTTCCAGGTGTCCTCATTATGTCCAGGTAGAAATTACAACAAGAGCTCTCACCACAAGAGCAGAATGATGTTTCCCACAAGGAAATGTATCTCCAGGAAAAGCTGATGTGCCTAGCAGGGACTGGGCTGAACCTGGAGAGGAAGATGACTCGGCCAATGGAGAGAGGACATGGGAACAAGAAACCACCGTGTCAAGTGGAGAAGGCGGTGCTGGACACGGTGCAGAGGGGTGCCTGAGGTCCAGAGAACCAAGGCACCAACTTCACCTGGGGGGCTTGGGAGGCTGCACAGGGCAAGTCGCATCTGCATGTGGTGCAGTAACAAAGGAAGCTTTCCAGGAGCCCTGTCATGGGGTCTGCAAAGAACGCAAGAGCGAGAACCTAGGTCTAGAGGCTGGACGTGAGGGGCAGCAGGGCTGGAAAGACTGCTTGGGACCAGCATGCAAAGGCTCTTGCTCTGTGCCGAGTCCTATCGGCAGGGAGGTCCCTTTGAGAGTTGCAAAGCACAGGTGTGACACAGTGAGGGGTGTGTTTCAGATCCATCCCCCTTCCTGCAGGTACGTGTCACTTAGAGGACTGACACACTGGAGGTGGGGAGGCCAAGGAGGAGGCTGCTGACTCGTCATGAGATTCGAACTGAGCAGAGAGAAAAAAAGCAAAGGTCCCATGGGGACATGTTGAGGTGACAGATCAACAGACTTGACAGCGAGTCAAACCTGAGAGCAGGAGGTGGGGCGCTGTAAGGGTGGCCAGCATCGACCCCTCCCTGGAGTGCTCGGTGGCCCAGCTCATTTGAATATCTGCCCAAGACACTGTGGCAAGGAGGCAAACATTTACTGCAGTGCTGACTTGAAGATTCTTTCATGCTCTTAAGATTCCATGATTCCATGATTCTAAAAGTGTTCTTCACTTGCCCCAGATTCTCTTCTCACCCCTAAACAAAAGTGTGTCCGAGATTTTGTCATCTCTTTTCACTATCCCTACATGAATATGAAGAAGACCCTGGACCCCATCTCAGTCCTGAAATCTCTCTCAAACTCGATTCCAAATCTGCCTGGAACAGCCTTACATAATGTCCCACAGCTTACGTTAACATGGCCGAGTACTGCGGTAGGTTTGAAGCCAAGCATCTCGGCTCCAGCCACATTGCTGCTTCCATGTCCTTTCAGACTCCTGTGCTTGGCGCTGTGTTACCCTACATCCAGCCCTGCATATCCTCAATCTTGCCATTTCCCTAGACTCCCTGCAACCTCTCTGCTGGTCCCTTCCACACCCAGCAGTCCAAATTCTTGCAGACACCATCCATCTGCTCTAGCATCAAATGCTCCCCGCCCCCATGATCACTACAGCCAACCCTCCCAGCCTCTCACCTTTGCCACCAAGTCCCTGTCCCCAGCCCCCATTCCACCCACTCTGGATGGACTGATGCTAGTACACAGCACCCACACCCAGCCATCACCAACTCTGCTCTCCTTTCACTCCTTTTCTTGGTCCAGATTATGGCCAGTAACACAAAGTCACACCTCCTCAACTCCGTATGCCTTGACCAACCCCAATTCACAATCACTCCTGGAAACTTCTCTCTCCAGTCAAACTGACCTATTCCTTGCTTCCTGAAGGAGCTCAAATTCCAGTGCACACTGATTTTGTGCCATGGAGCTCTCTTCCCATTGGAGCCTTTGCTACCCGAGTCCCATGTTCCCTTTAAGGTGAGCAGTCTTGGATCTTTCCAGATTGACTCAACCTGAAACCGATGATCCTGGGATCATCTTCCTCAGTCAGCCGGCACTAGGTGTCTGTGCCTCTGTGTGTCCCTGAGGATAGGACACAAATCCCACTCTATGTATAAAGAACCTTGAGGATAGTGATGGAAAAAAAGTTTGAACCAACAGACATTGGTTATGAATTCCCACTCAGCTGCAGCAGATTACGGAACGTATCTGGGTCTCAGTGTCCTGGTTTCTGAAGGAAGGCATGATAATTCCCAGGCAGAGACTGGCACAATCCAGATTCCCAGTGTGTGCTCTCTTGTGGCCGCAGCCCACCCCGTGTCCACTCCCAGAAGACATTTGCACACAGTCCCTGCCCGGTGTCACTTGTGTTGTGGAGCCCCCATCACTGTGAGTAAAACTCCACCAGCGACTCTTGAGAGCAAACTCACAGAAGAAGTGACTTTCAATTAATAGCAATTCTCTCACAATTTCAGATGAAATCAGGAGGACATAGTAACCAGCCAGAAAGAGAAAGGGATGTGTTGTAAGATGATAAGCATAGGGAAGCCTGGACCAAAATGGCTCAGGGTGGCGGCAGCTGTGGACCAGCTTAACCACAGGGAAGACACCTGCTTGCAGTTAGAGCATGCCAGTATTTGAGGGGAGCTCGTTTCCCACATGTTGGATGATGTAATTCCTTAGCACATGGATATGAAAAAAATCATGAGACAGAAAACTGCGCTGACTTCAGGAACAGAAAAAGCATGATGATAATGAGCAAAACGAGGAAACCAGGTCCATTCTGAAGATGCTGGAGACTGAATTACCTTCCAATCATGAGCTGAAGTACAGTGTGTACTCCTTAAATTTCCCCCTCTTTTTTAGACTGTTGAGCTAGCCACTGCTTGGCTGTTACATAGAGCTAATTAATCCCACGCTTTTGGCATGATATATATATTTACTTTGCAAGTCTTAAATCATTCAGGAAGAGAAGAAACTCGTATCTGCTTGGTTGTTGCGGAGAAAGACATGAACTAGGAAGTTAAAAGCTGGTTTGCTTTCTTTGCTTCACCATATGGGTGGGGAGAGAGCTGTTTCATTTCCCATCTGTTTCATTTCCCAGAACCCATCTGTGCACAAAACCAGGGCCCCATTGTGAGGTTAGCAGTGGGAGCTGGCATGGCTGACTTGAAAAACTGAGCTTTGGTTCATGGAGGCACCAGCCCATGGGTGGTTATCCCCGTGACTGCCCGCACCCCCTCAGTAATCCCATGCTGCTCCCGACATGACAATGATTGCACTTAAATGTCAGCCCCCAAAAGATGAAAGATGAGATGAAAATGCTCCAACATTTGCATTTCTCCCCTATAGAGCCAGTCACATAGCTGAATCCATTTCCAGAAAGTTCTGTTCATTGAATACTACATTTAACATCAAGACTTTTTAAAAAGAAAAGCAAGAAGAGGGCTTTTGTATTCTAAGAAAGCAAACATTCATTTCTTGCCAGGACAAAATGTCTAAGAAGAAAAACAAATTATATTTTAAGGGAGATGAGGACTTCAAAGCAATGCCACCAAAAATGTAGAATTTTTTTTCCACATCATTTTTAGACAGAATTTCTTTTGTCAGGGGTGGTAACCAAATCTTAGTAAACAATGTCCTCAGAGATAAAAAATAAAGAAAATTTTTACTTTGGAATTTGAAATAAGCATCTGAGTTTCTAGACACAGTGATATGCCGTTTATACAATTCTTTGATCAACCTAAGGAACTCACAGCTCTATAATAATGCCTTTTTAAAGTGATCTAGAGTGTCATACGTTTTTAAATTCTGATATTTTGATAACAAAAAGAGTAGAATGTGTACTACATAAATAAACTACTTTCAAAACGTTAATTTCTGACTACTGAAAATAAAATTGGGTTTTCAAAAATTGGCAAATAAATACACTGTAAGAAGACTTTAGCAGGTGTCTGAGAATTTTTATGATCCCAGAGTATTACGCTTTTTTTGAAATGTATGTTTATGTATATATGTATATATGTTTCAAATATATATATATTTCAAAAATATATATTTCAAAAATATATTTTTTTCAGAAATATATAAATATATTCTCTCATGTAGAAGAAATAAGGAATCCACTAAACTTTTGGTTATTAGTAGTGATATATGGATTTACATTTACATTTTAAAATGGCTGTTGTCATCTGACTCTGTAGAATATTTGTCGTAAATGCCTAAGTGAATGTTAATGAGTTGTTTATCATGTACTAATATTAACTTTCTCTCCCCAGATGCGAAGAGTTTAGCTGAAATGCTCATGAGGTAAGAACAAAACCTACCGTCTCAGATATCGTCTTTAAAAGAATAATTTCCAACTTGCTTTAATGCTTTTTAAATAATTATCTGAAATTGATAGCACATCTTATTTTTGATACATAAAGTCCATTCTGTGTACCAAATATCCATGTTATGCCTAATGTGATATGTATATACCAAATAATATACTTTTATACATGCCATAGGTAGTTGTCTTGTTGACCAAACTCACCCAGTGGAATGTTTCCCATTAAGCTGGGACTAAAAAGGCACATTATAAGGAAGTAGTTTTGGTTTTGTTTCCACCCAAATATACTATCTTTGAGGTTGAGCCTTCTTCTTTAACAGTTAGTCAAGTGAAAAGAAAGCCCAAAAGGCTTTGGGTGTTACACACAACTAATGAATCATTGAACACTACACCAAAAACTAATGGTGTACTATATGTTGGCTAATTGAATTTAAACTAAAAAAAAAAAAAAAAAAGAGGAAATGCATTGTTCACTGTGCTCTTCTAAGGAGATGGGATATCAAGAAAGATTCTCCCTGCCCTCAGCTCCCATGGCACCTTGAGCACCCCTCCACTAGAGCACTCACCAACTTCTGCTGCAAATATCTATTCACTGTCTGGTCTTGGAGGTCATAGCCTGATATGTCATCCTCATGTTAGAAATACCAGCAGTATAGTTGATGAATGACTAGTGGTAGTTGAATAAGTAAGTGAATTTTCACAGCTGTAGAAGACACCCCAGTATTTACATTTTAAGCCTTTTTTGTATTGTAATGATTAAACCAAAAGTGAAAAAGGATAATCAGAGTCTGGAAATCAGATAAGAAAAATGTCAGGGACCCTAATGGTGCTGCCATTTTAGGATGTTTACTGTAGGAGAAAAAGAGGATGGGCTATGGGGTCTCTCCTACTCCCCACCCCACCACTGTTGGATTTAACATCCTTCCCCATCTTTGCATATAAAATTGGTACTTTTTTTATTATTCACAAAGAGCCCATGACCCATATCACCAGCATCTTTGAAGACCTAAGGCAGAGGTCAACTGCCATTGGCCCACTGATTGCATTTTACACAGACATCTTTGTTTGGCCATACCGTGTTTTAAAACTATGTGCATTGTAGGTAAAGATATGGAGGACTCAGGATTACTCTGAAATATTTGGAGTGAGCAATTAAATAAACATAAGTGACATTTGCTAAAATTAGGAATTAGGAAGATAGATGCAGGGTACAGACTTTTTTTTTTTTTTTAGGACAGGGAAAGCGGAATGTTGATGGGAATGAAAAGACTTGTACGGGTCATGTTGAATTTGGGATGCTTTCCAAGTGTCCAGTGAAAATGTCAAATAGATAGCTGGTAGCAGGAATCTAGACCTCAGAGGAGAACTCAGAAATGCAAACGGCCTGTAAAATGTATCTTTCATAATGGGTCCTTGACCACATCCTTCTGGATCAAACTTGCATGAGGAGAATATGAAAATCTATATGAAATGCTCGGAATCCATGCTCTAATATAAGTCTGTACTTGTTCGCTAAGCAAGTATTGGGACATTTTTGTGGTCACATGGAAGGCATCCAAACACACATGCACCTGTGCAGAGCAAATCTGACAAAACATCTGGAAAACAAAACAAAACCAAAAAAAACAAGCCAGAGTCATTCAATTTATAGTACTTATCTAGCAAATAAAATAAACTTTCTAATGTAGACTTAAAAATATGAATTCATTGGTGACATTTAGAAATTGAGAGATTTCTTTTTTCTCTCTTTTATTATTACGTTCAATTAGCTAACGTATAGTACATCATTAGTTTCTGATGTAGTGTTCAGTGATTCATTAGTTGTGTATAATACCCAGTGCTCATCACATCACTCGCCCTCCTAAGAGATTTCGTATAAAATTGTAGCTTTCTGACTTTCTTGAAAATATTCTGGCCATACTGGGCACACCTTAGAGATAATGGCAGTCTGGAGCTCCATCAAATGCTCCCTGTAGACTGGGCATGACTTTTGCCCTGTATAACAGATCACCATCCCCATCTCCACCCCAGCCTACTTCACTGGTTTGTACCCCAGCCTGGTTCCTGCAGCCCTCCCAGAGACCTTCCAGCCACTTCCTTCAGCCACTCTTCAACCAGAGATCATGTCTGCCCAAACCCCGTGACACTGGAATCTGTGTTTTCTGACATGTTCAACATTTGTTTGGTTAGGATGAGTAGGTATTAGCTTCTCTAATATCCTAGAATGCATCCCTCCCCCTTCTTATTAGCCCCAAGCAAGACATCAAAAAGCATCTTCTTCATTAATAGGTCAATCACTGTGGTTGAAAGACCACCTCTTGAGTAAAGCAGGAATTAATAGTGGTATTTGAGGTTAACAGTTGCCAATATGAAATTAGGAACATTCAAACTGGTAATTACTCCCACTTAAGGTAGTTGAGGTGGTTTTCCTTCAGAGGGTACAGTGGTTGAAAAGGAAGAGAATTTCTAAGCTTCTCAAATAGATGGATTTTTATGGGATTAATTTAGAAGCAAACGCAATGCTTTTAATCATGAAGGGTCAGTTCAATCTAAGTTTGGCAGGTTAATGGGGCCAAGCAACAAAAGACCCTGTCACCTACCTGGAGATTTGAGGGCCAACCGTATTTCGAATGTGGTCTAGAAAATCTAGGCAAGTCATATCTGTTGGTATAGAGAGGCTACAGAACTGCTGTCTCTGATCTTCACTGCTGATTGAGTGGGAAATTGAGGACATAGCAGGCTGGTGCAGTGAGAACATAGAACCACAAGCCTACATTGTAGGCCTCATGTTGCCATTTGCTGGTTCTGTGATCTTGGGCAAGTCATTTTCCCTCTGTATGCTCCACTTTCCTCATCTAAAAAATAACAATTTGCAATTATTCCTAGCTTTATAATTCTGTGATCTTGGTGAAGGTAACATATTTTCCAACCATGTTCCCTAAAAAATGTATCTGCATACTTTAGTGGGATTAGCTGTCCCAGGGCCAGGAAGGCAGATGCTACTGTGGGACAAACACAGATAAGCTGGTGCCAGGGTATTCCCCACAAGGTATCGTCTCCCGTCTCCCGTCGCTGGGCTTTGTGCTTCTGCACATTCCTCGATTTCACCCATGCAAATCACCCCCCACAGAGAGAAAGAGAGACTTCACCCACTATGCCCAGATAGAAAGGATATTCCTTTTTTATGATTATGTGAAAATAATTTAAAGAAAAATACCAGCCTTTTAAGAGGTAAGACTAGCCTGCTCTGAGGCATTAGCCAATACGTGTTAATATACAAAGACCAGCATTATTAAAAGCTATCTATAAGTGGAAAAGGGTGGAGAAGGGTTCAAACTGAGAACTTAAATAAGTTTAGCTTTTTTGATGTTCATATTTTTAGACAAATAGTAAAACAAACAAACAAAAAAAAACCACTCAACTATTATAATGAGGTCCTGATAGCCCTACAGTTATTCTAAACTTATGGAATGCTTCATATCATATTTGGGAAGGTGGGTGATGTGCAGACTTTTTCATCAGTCCCCCCACCCCCACAAAGCTTAAGGAAATACCAAGACTTTAAAGAGTTTTAACAACTGCAAGTAATTTATTGGCTAAGCTGGGAAATACAATCCTTGGTGAACGAGGGTCAGCTCTTTGTCATTTTAATCAGACAACCAGACGGCAGATGGATGGTGGAAGATGATATTTCAATAATAACTAACATATTTAAGCATGATTCCATATCATAAAAAAGATGCAATTTTGTTTCTACAGTGAAAACATTCAGAAACTTTTCACAAATGAGTTTTCCTCGAATAGGTTTTTTTGGGGGAGGGGAGGGTTTACTGCTGTTTTAATGACCAATTGCTATAATTTTAGAGAATCAGCCTTCCTAGAACCATAGATTATAGACTATGGCAGCCACATTAAGAAAGTTGAGACCTGGGGCGCCTGGGTGGCTCAGTTGGTTAAGCGACTGCCTTCGGCTCAGGTCATGATCCTGGAGTCCCAGGATCGAGTCCCGCATCGGGCTCCCTGCTCAGCAGGGAGTCTGCTTCTCCCTCTGACCCTCCCCCCTCTCATGTGCTCTCTCATGCTCTCTCTCAAATAAATAAATAAAAAAAAAATCTTAAGAAAGTTGAGACCTAATAACCCTTTAAAATGAGAAGAATATTACCTCCTCTGGGACCTGTCACTCACTCCCACTGTACCCTCCAAACAACATGATTTATTCAACAAGCTTCAACAAATACTTATTGAGCACCTACTCCGGCCACATACTGCTCTAAGTTCCAGGGGTATATAGGGGCAGAACGGAAGGAACTATCCCTTGTAGAGCTCATATTCCAGTGGAAGAGACAGATCACAAACAAGATAAGTCAATTAAACATATGCTCAAGAGTATTCAGTGGCGGGGAAACAAGATTCAACAGAGGATGGGGAGGAGAAGCATCAGCAGTGCCCAGAGCTGGGCCAATCTGGCTCCATTGAAGACAGCACCTGCACCAAGCTCTGAAGCCAGAGAGGGAGCCAGCCACTTGGCCACTGGGATGGGGGGAGGGGGCATTTCTTCTAAGCAAAGGGAACAGCAATGCAAAGGGAGAGAGGAACAATTAGCTCCTGAATCTCAAGGTTTGTTGGGCCATGTTCTTGCCTTTCCACTACAGGGCTTGACAGCGTGCATTCCTTCAAGGAGAAGGAGAAATTTACTTCCAGCTTTGATTGTCTCTGTTTATGAAGTTCAATCAATTCTAAGTCCTCGTGCCCACTGCACTGGGGCACAGTAGCTATTTAGCATGCTTCCTGTGTCAGTCTGACAGTGGACCCCTTATTGTTAAAGATAGTCTGCGCTCGGGTTCATAGTGTTTAATAGAGCAGCCTCATAACTATTCATGATGAGCAGAAGGAACTAGCTCACATTTCTATTTTTGGTGCAAGGACAAGCTCAAGTCCCTAGTGGAGTTTCTAAACAGACCTTTCAGATACTCACAGAGGAGTAGTTCCCCATCTGTTTTTGTGGAAATAGAGCTTGTCTAAACTGCAACCCCCAAGTCACCAAAATGTTCTTCATTTTATACAAGTATTTGAATCTTTGCTTTAAAACACACACACACATACAAAATGAAAGCGTAGTTAAGTAAATAATTTCAAAAAGTATATAGACGATGTGAAAAATTCAGGCCAAACATTTGAATTTGGGCTCTGCATAATTAGCATGATCTAGCTACATAACCCAGTTACTCATCTGCAGAGCAAGAAATCTGGTTCAAGATCAAGTCCTAAGTAGGAATGACGCACCTCTTAGAAGCTGTTGTTTCTGTAGGTTGTTTTGTTTATACTCAAATGAGGGAAGGGCCGTTATAAAATATTCAGAATATTAACACAGACTTCAACATTTAAATGTCTACTGGGGTTCTTGAATGAACTTGACCTTTGGATTATTAACATTCCTTCAGCTACAGGGTTCAAGGGTAGATGAATCTTCATCAACAAGAAAGGACCTAGGACTCCTGGGGAATTCTTAGTCGGGAAGAAAAACATTTAAGATGTAGTATGACTATCCTTTTATCATTCTCTACTAAAAGTAACTAACACAGAGGTAAATCATCCAGTGAAGTAGGTGCCAGAAATCTTTCTCAAAGTCGATTTTGGCAATTGTTGAGCTGGATTTATGGATGCCATAGTTTATCACATTGATGAATTATTCTGAATGATTGTTGCTCTTTAGAAGTTGTTTTACTACACAGGTGACCCTTGAACGATGCAGGCATTAAGAGCGCTAACCCCCACATACAGTCAAAAATCCACATACAACTCTAGATTTCCCCAAAACTTAACTGCTAGTAGCCTACTGTTGACCAGAAGCCTGACCCATAACATAAACAGTCAATTAACACATACTTTGTGTATTATATGTATTATATACTGCATTCTTACAATAAAATAAGCTAGAGAAAAGAAAATGGTACTAGGAAAATCAGAAGGAGGAGAAAACATTACAGTACCAGACTGTATTTATGGAGAAAAATCTGCATATAAGTGGACCCGTCCAGTTCAAACCCATGTTCTTTAAGGGTCAACTATACATTATTTTGAAATCTTCTCAATCCTTACAACTCTGTAAAGACTGCACAATCACTCCTGTGATGTAGGACTTTTTCTGTGTTTTTGTGAAACATGCAGATTATTTTTTTTTTCTGTAGACTGTAACTGAATTTGATTATCCCATGCCATTTTACTACCTATTTTCATTTACTTCTAGAAGCTCACTCTAAGAGTAATTTTCTGGTACACAAATTCTTATAGTAGTTGGGTTTTGTTTTTAATTCTAAAATACGATATCAGTTAGGATAAACTAGTGTCAGGGAAGTTAACAAGGGTTATGATTTGTTACTAGAACAGAAATAAAACTACGCCAGATGTAAATACAAATCCATTAGTAGAAGCCCCACCCAATGAGCAGCGAGCACACATGCTTCCTCCCTTGCCATCACTGGAATATCTCATGTCTGACAAATAAGAGTGTTGTTGGTTTAAGAATCACTTTTTTTTTTTTTTTGGTTTTACTTAGCGTTACACAAGAAAAGGGAAATTCCAAAGGTTCTATCAATATGGAACCAATCCCTATTGACAGTTTTCATTCTTTGAGCCTCACAACTGATTGCTGAAGCTTAATATTAGTAAATATCACTTGAATGAAGGGAAAAAAATGTTTTTCCTTCTCCTTATCCCCTTTTCCTTCCTTGCTTTTTTTTCCCCCTCCCATCCCCACAAGGCATTCAAATAATTGGATACCAAACCCAGTGGTTGTATAAGCCCCTGTTGGCATCATGTAAGTCTGAACTGCATTTGTTCATGAATCCCCTCTATTTTATCCCCAGTAAGAATACCCGGACTTCGGATACCTTGAGCAAGCAACAACAGACCTTGAGAATGCACATTGACATACCCAGGGCTCAGCTTTTGATTGAAGAGAGAGACACAATGGAGACCATCGGTAAGGTGCCTTGTTCGTGGCCTTACACAATGTGGCTGCTACAGCTGTGCCCTCTCAGCCCAAACCCCAGTGGTTATGGGAACGTCTTGAGTGCTCCACAAGCAGAGGTAGAAGGGAGATCATTGTTATTGAGGAGAATAATAAATACCAGCAGATGTGGGTGGGGAAATGAACTCACACGTAGCTCAGAGGTCACCTGAGACAGGAGTTCCCCAACTTTGATCCGTGCCGGGTCTTTCCTGCAGAGACTATTGGTGCCTCTCCAAAGAACAAACACCTGTAATCAAATAAGCCTAGAAGGGTCACACACTAAAGCCCATCCTGGAAATTCACTCAGTGCCTTCTTCAGCTACAATAGGGCCTTCATTAAAGAAAACATTTAAAATCTACTTAGCATTTAACAAACAAGTGTCTGTGCATGGGCTGCCTTTTCACCATCCCTCAGCACCACGCAGACACCCTGGGATGGGGTCCTTGGCAGTGCTTTGGGAAACACCCAGATCCATGTTTCACCTGGAGAACGTCTGTGTCTGATTCGCCCAGAACCCTGCTGTCTTGACTCTTTCCAGCCCTTTCCATTCAAAATCCGCTGTTCTATACTGCCTTCTTACACAGGTCTACTTACTCCAGAATCAGAGACTTTATATTTCCATTGCAATAATGATCAGAAGAATAGCTAACATTTACTGAGGGCTCTCTAATGTCACCTACTTTTATAAGCACTTTATGTGCATCCTTTCATTTAACCCACCCAATCAACGTAGGAAAAAGATACTACTTTGTAATTGGAGCATTGAGAGCTTACATAGCTTGCAGGTCACTTAGACTAGAGCAGAACCAGGGCAGGGCCCCCACCCAGCCGCCAGCCTAGCCTCCTGTGACTGTCACCACCTGCTTCCATATCAACAAGCTTCTTCCCAGAAGCCCTCACCTTAGAAATATCACTCAGCTTTCCAGTATCCATAGAAACAGACTCTGAGGCAGGTTGCCCAGTCTGGCCCTTTTCAAACTTTGCTCAGTGTTTGTTCTGGAAGGTGTTTCCTGGCACTTGGTCCCAGGGCAACCCTATCCTGTGATTTGGCTAAAATTACCCCACTCCTGGCACCTACGCTAGAAGCCTCCTGCCAGAAAAACAGTGGTAAATGGCCAGATTGGCAGAACATCTCCATTGCTCCTTGCTCCCGCCCTGCATGATTATGTTCTAATAGTACAGCAGAGACATCTTGACTTAGAAGTTCCTAAGTCCTAAGGTTTGGGCTGCTCTTGCTGGCTTTAAGTTTGGTTCAGGCATAATAGCACTTGGAGAAGGTTGGTCAAGCCCAGTGTGGCCCTCAATCAACTAAATTCAGTTAAATACTACCTGTGTTGTTGGAGGGCTCACTTACTCATCCTAAAATACGTAAGATTTTATTTGATAGCTCCCATCAGGACAAAGCACCATGCTTTGTTCTTGATCACCTTTACCTTTCAGGAGTATAGCTGGAATCCCTTTTATTGAACTCCGTAGGTTGGGCATAAAAACCAAGATGTTCCTCTGAAACATCAGTTCAAAAATCAAAATATAATTCCTTTGACCGTATAATATAGTTACAACATTCGATAAATGTTCCTCATCAGACCTGTTAATCATTGTCCCCACGGTGGTTACAATAGGTAGTCATAGCTGGCCTAACACCAGAGAAAGTCTGCTCATCATTCTGTCCATAGTCACTGCCCTTCACCAGAGATGCGTCCTATTCCTCACAGGATCATTGATCACCAAGAGTCGTTTACCTCCTGGTGATGCTTGACAGTTGGTCAATGGCATTTTCTAATTATTAGGAAGTAGAAATGTGATGCTTTAAAACACTCTGGGCTCTGACTACAAGAATCCAATAGGAGAGTGCCATTAATTTCCAGCCAGAATGAATGGTTAACCTCACACACTGACAGGCACCTGAAATTTCCCATTAAGAGTTTGTACCCTAGCCCCGCAGATAATCCAGAGTGCTCTCCGCAGGGCTAAGTGTTGGAAACCAGAACATGTCAGTATTATTAGTGAGAAACGAATGTAGATGTTGGGCTTCTGATGCCAGGTCCAGTTGTAAGAACCTGTTTCTGGAGAAAGGCCACCAGTCTGGGGGCCAGGGGAAGGCTGCGGTGTGACCCCCCGCGCTGAGCCCCAGATCCTGCTGTGGTACCAGCCCACGCTGCATCCCACGCCAGGATGCCAGCAGACACCTTGGCAGTCTCTCTTCTATTTCCCTGCCAAGAAATTTTATTCTAACTTCAAGAGGTTTTCCTCTCCTGCCAGAGCCTGAGTAATTGGATTTTGTAAGGTTCATTCTGTTCAGAGCCTTTTTTGGACACAGAAGTCTAACTGTGTTGTTTATGACTTTCACATCACCGTTCTGTGTCAAGGCACACCACAGCGTGGTCCCAGCTGACTGATAAACTCATATGAACAGCATCCCGGGCTGCGGTGCTTGAAAACGTATGAATATATCCATATATCCTAACGGGAGCTTCCCTTGGAGTAAAAGAGCTCTTAAGGAAGTGTGAAAAGTATCACAACAAAGTAATGAAAATCTTGAGACAACCAAATAATGACACACAGCTCAACCAACAGCTTCCTTTCCAAGCACTAAAATGCTCCTAATTCATCTGAACCCAGGCTCCTGCTTCCCTAACCTTCAGGTGCCAACTGGGCTTGGAAATCTGACAAGTGAGTCATTTTGAGAAATCAATTAAAAGATGTTCTAGAGTAATTAAGGCTCAGAAGAGGTGGGAAGGAACATACATCAGAATCTTTAAAATAGAGGAATCAATAAACTCTGAAGACCAGCCCTTCTCTTTCCCACACCTCCCCCCAACCCCAAGCATTGGCCAAGTTCAGCATGAGAGCCCCTCAAGTGTAGAGAGCTGTGGTGGTGGTGTTCTTCTAGTCCTGCAAACAGAGCTGACTTGCAGGGGCAGCCCCATCACTGGGTGGTGCCGGCTTCCCTGCTGACAACTCAGGTGAGCCTTTGACAAATACAGAATTCCCAAACTCTGTTAAACAGGCAGCAGCAACAACAAGCCTCCCCAAATCAGTGTTTGCTTTGTGAGAAGACCCTCTCTGTGGTCACTCTCTTTCATTCGTGCTCTGAAAGCCAACACTCTTAGCACTCTCCAGTGGTTCTAACGTGGCGCTTGAATTTTTAGTTGTTTTTGCTGCTTTAGATGAGGCCGTAATTGCGGTTGTAATGAATGATAACACAAGGACCTGGGGAGAGAGGCAGCGTGCCATGGAAAGAGGGTAAACATGTCTGGTTTCCCCCGTCCCTGCTGTTTTGCAGACGATCGCTCCACGGTCCTGTTAACGGATGCTGACTTTGGGGAGGCGGCGAAACAGAAGTCCCTGACAGTGACGCACACGGTCCACTACCAGTCAGTGTCACAGGCCACCGGGCCCCTGGTGGACGTTTCGGACGCGCGGCCGGGAACGAGTAAGTGGCCAGACAGCGCAAACCGTGTGGGTGTTGTCAACACTGACGAGACGTGGATGCTCTGTCCCCGTCAAACGGAGGTGGGGCTCATTGGCCCCGCGCCTAAGAAACAGATACGCACGATAGTAGTTTTCTTTGGGACAGTGAGTTTTTACTGTTGGATCTGAGCTGGTTTTCAAATTGTGTCAGCTGAAGCCAATAACCCTTGGTAGTGATTTACTACGAAAGTGCTAGAAATTTCAGGTAGAGGTAATTTTTTTTTAATTTGGACGACACTGGAAAAGGGGAAGGTAATTAACATGAGTGAGTATCTACTCTGTGCCAGGATTAGGATAAAAAGCTTATGTCGTGTATGTTATCTGTAAGGCAACCCTGTGAGGTACCTACTTATAATAGGTATGAATAGATATGATAGCCTCTATTTTACAGGTAGAAAAAAAAATGGATTCTCAGAGAAGTTAGGTAAACAGCCCAAAGTTGTACAGATAATGCATAATGAAGCCAAGATTGAACTGTGGGTCTGTCCGTCCTTGGAGTTCATGCTTTTCTCCTGTACATGCTGTTTGAGAAAAATTGTAGTCCTGACTAATCCAGGGATTATGTTTGACTTAGTTATTAATATCGACATCCATAATATATGGGAATTAATTACTGCAATGAAATTAAATCCCCTAATATGTATCTAGAGCTTATTAACTAGATATTCTTATTCCGTCATAACTGAAATTGTTTCTAAATCTCTTTAAAGACTGAGAAATTGATGTCCTGATTATTATCTTTTCAAAAGCTTTGATGTCTAGCTTTTAAACCTCTAATCACTCTGCAAAAATTTACATTCTCAGAGTGTTATAATTAGAAAAATAAATATTACAATGTTAAAAGCCGTTTTTCATAAATTCTGACTCGAAAGGCATTTGTGAAATGCGCCGAGCATCATGAATCAAACCAGTTGATTCCTAATAACATTGTAATTTGAAAACAGTTTCAACTGTTACTGAAATTGATTTGAAAAGTTATCCTCAAGAACGTGCTAAAGAAATCTTTTATTCCCCCTTTTGTCTAACCTCACCACCTTCCTTCCCTGATGACATTAGCACACACTGAAGATCCGAACGGGCCATGAGTGAGAGTTAATTTTGCAAGGGGGTGTGAGCGAGAGCCTTACTCTTAGAAACTGCTTCGTGGTCCTTGATATTCTCTCCAGCTACTGGCTTCCCCATCATCATTTGCCTGGTCCAGGGTCTGGATATAGGATGCTGCACTGATGGATTTCTGAGCCACTGATTGCTATTCAGTGAGAGAAAGACTATAGACTGGGGTGGGGAGGGGGGCGGGGGGAGAGATTGCTGAAATGGATGGATCCTTGACCTCAAAGTTCCATGCCCAGGCAGCATGGAAGCTGATAGAGACATTAACTGGAAAATAGGAAAGAGGCAGAGGAAACAGGACAGATGCCCAGATAGTGGTTCCCCAACTCTTATATGTGTCAGGATCACCCAGGATGTCTGTTCCAAACACCCATTCCAGGGCTCTGTCCCCAAAGGTTCTGATCCACTTGGCCCAGGAATCTGCCTTGTAATAGACATTCTGGGTAATTCTGATGCTGATTGTCTGGAGCCCTCTTGGAGAAATATTTCCCCAAATGTTAGACCTATGTGTGTCCCTGCCCCTGAGTGCAGTGGGACAGGACCTCTCAAGCTTGCCACACTCACAGCACACGCCTTCTTTCTGCCAGGTAAAACAAGCAAGCATTCCCACCTCCCCTTCAATGTTCGACTGGCAGAGCAATTCACAGAGGCCAGCCATAAATAGAGGAGAAACGCACTGGGAAGCTCCCAACTGCATGATCACACCTCTACCTGACTAATGAACACATTGATTCGATGACATTCAAAATATCCGCAGAAATGTGAATGTCGGTCATAAGCAGAAACTAGAGCCAGCAAGAGGCAGTGGCAGGCCGGGGGCACATGGGGCGGCATGTCCGCGTCTCTCACACCTGTAACTCTAGAAGCATAGCTAGGGAACTGCAAGGATGCGTGCATTCAGACTCAAATATATTCACTAAGGTTTTACTTGACATATGGCCCAGTGATGGGGGTACATCATGAGACGCAGGAAGACATTCATTTCATCTTAGTGCAGGAATCAGATGCAAACAAAGAACTCAAGCTTTTCTCATTTACCTAAAAGAACTAGGGAAAAATAGGAGGCAATGATGAAATGGTGAGATAGTGAGTCAGGGGGTGTATGGGAGATGATGGGAGAGGCTACTTTGAACATGAATCTGGGGAGACCACCATTGAGGAGCAAGTCTCAGTCGTGGCCATGAGCTGGCTTGCCAGGTGGAGGGGACAGGAGGGAAAAGCTCCTAAGGCCTGTTGGGACAGAAGCGTCCCTGGATTGCAGTGGGCCACAGGGATGCGGGGGGTAGACAGAGAAAGAGGTGGCCTGGTCGCCAGGCCTCCTGGGCCAGCCTCGTGAGTTTGCACCTCATTCTGAGAGTGTTGGGATGCTCAGCCCAGGGTTCAGCCTGATGATCACATCACACTGAAGCAACCACAGCTTACAGAACGCTGCTTCCTTCATTTGTGATGAACATCCAACAGTGTTTATAAGCATTAGGTAGATCTACTCAAATGCATGCATCAGTCTCTAATTCAAAAAAATTAAAAGCAGAGCTATTCCTTTAGCATCTGCACAACATTCTCTATTAGTAAAGGATCTTTGGGATCATTTTTGCATTAAATATTTCTTCCAGAACCACATGAGGAGGGACTAAGAACATCCCGTTTTTCATTTATAAGTGGAAAGAGTGGGCATCCAAACCCCCAGCAGAAGCCCAGCTCTCCGCTTGTGTCCCGTGCCCCCAAGTTTGTCACAGTGTCCACGTGGTGCACCCCTGTCATCTCAGTCCCATGCGGCTGGTTCTCCACACTGCAGTTGGGCGAATTTGCCGAGATGGTTTTATAGTCTGTCTCCTCAGCTGCACACGGCGTTATTAGTCTGTTCTAATGATGCTAGGACGGGGTCGTCAATGTAGGGGCTCTTTAGTTTTAAGAAGAGCATCTACGATACGTTGTTTACACACTATCATGACCGCATCATAGAAGCTATGTTTCTAGGCATTTATTTTTTTAGTTTTCCTGACCTGCAACAAAGATTCGTTATGAGGATGGGAGAAATCCCAACAGTTGGCTATTTAGCTCTTCAACCAAGGGGAACAGATGCCTTGGCTGTGTCTGCAGTTCTGTGTGCATCCCTGTCTCTCCTGTGTCTTAGGGTACAGGAGAAAGTGGGGCATCTGTGGTGTCTGTGTCTCCCACCCCCAGCTCCAGCCGCAGAGTCTGATACACAGTAGGCATCAGTAAACATACTTAAATACTAATCCACTGTCAAGTTCTGAAATCAGAGTAAAGGGGGTGGGTAAGAAAGGATGTTTAGCATTTTAGACAGGACTTGGGCAGTCCATTTGGCCCCTCTCTTTGTTCTCCATTTCCTAAGACATCTAATAGGCTGGGGGTCTGGATGCCAGCTGATTGGAGGTTTGTAAGTATGTACATAGTCTCTCCCAGCACACTCTGTGAGACTTACCAACGAGACCGTCACAGGAGAACTTGAATCAGCTTTCTTGTGCCCAAACTGTGCAAGGGTACAAAGACACGTGAAGTGAAACGTGTGAGACATGACCTGGGCTTTGGGGTCATATTTACCTGGAAGTCATCCCTTTGTCACCATCCACCCATCTGGGCCAAGAGCATGTACAAGAGCTTGACTGTACTTGATGTACAGAGGGCTAGACTGGGAATGAATAGGACGCACACCTGTCCTTACCAGCTCTACCTTTCAGCTCCTTTCTGCAGCATGGGAACTCTCCAGCATCTGGTCTTGATGTTTTTTTTAAGATTTTATTTATTTATGAGAGAGAGAGAGATCACAAGAAGGGGGAGCAGGAGAGGGAGAAGTAGACTCCCCACTGAACAGGGAGCCTGGTGGGGGGACTCGATCCCAGAACCCTGAGATCATGACCCGAACCAAAGTCAGACACTTCACCAACTGAGCCACCCAGGCACCTCTGGTCTTGATTTTTTAATGAGTATTTTTTTTTTCTGCCAAACCCTCTCTAAACTGAGTCTCTAGCCTTCCTGATCAACCCACCAAATCTCCCCCACCCTCTTCCCAATAAGCAGGATGTGCTCCAACCCTTGCCAAGTGTTTGTCACTCAGGAATCACGGGCCAGGCCCCGAGATCTATTGAGCCCCTCCATGTGTCACAACAGCCCTATGGGTGGGTGAGGTCTGAGATGAGGGAAGTGGGCACGTCTGATGAGCTCACCACCAGCAAGTAGTGAAACTGGGTCAAAGGCAGGCAACCTAACTCAAACACTGTTAAGTGCTGTTAAGTGGAGATGACGCTTCTTAGGGGACATCTAGGGGCTGAGTAGGCTTACATAAGAAGAGTTCACAACCTGGATTGACTCTTTTTTCATTGAGACTTTGAAAACCATTGCACACCCCATCACGCAGAATTGTACATGACATCATACTGCAGGAAAATACCTGATATAGGCGAGGAGTGTCCCATGTATAATGAGCCCTTGGTAAATACTTGTTCGTTATGTGATGGGAATATTCAGGCCCCACAGCATCATCACCACATGCAGTGGAGGCCTCAGCACCTACGAGATAGGACAGCAAAAGCCAGAGAATAAAAACAGATTAATACCCAGATCACAGTACACATGACATGTTTTAAAACCCTATTAGCCACAAAATCCTCTCTTATCCCGAATTCAGGATGATTAAAATAATTTGATTCAGTGGGCAGAAAAGCTTAATTTAGGTTCAGACTCGGTCTTGAAAGGCCAAGAATTATTTGTATCACTTACCTTCTAATTTGTTAGCTGTTCAGCAAGCGTGATGGCTCATCACCAAGTTGTATTTATATTAGAGTGGTGGGGAGCCGAACAAAATGCTTTCCATGCAGGGGCAGTAAATCTCAACATTTATTTCCTTAGTAGATTACCTGGTAAGGCCTACAAAGGAGGCTACCAAGTAGGGTCCAAGTCAGATTTTTATTTTAGCTGATATCTCAGGAGCTATCATACCGAAGAGTTCGGCTCAGGTATAAAACAGCTCCCAAAACCTGATTATTAAAAAAAAATGTGTCAACCACCCCAATATTCTACCTACTGAGATGATTTCGCCTCTAGGATGCTTGCTTAGAGCAGAACAGAATTGCAGCCTGTGGTTCAGGGAAAGTAATATCATGACCTATATTTCCAACGTTATCAGGCCACTGGTAAAACTGTCCTCATCTAGAAAAAAAGGATAACGAACAAAATTAACTTGAAAAGAGTTGTGGCTTTGAATAGAGGCTGACATGTACAACGTGACCATGGAATTTTCCACACAGGGTGATCTCAGTGAGAAAGGGGCTACGGTCCTGCCCCACTATGGGTGGGCGGGTCAGTGGGAAGAAACACAGGGGAGGGTTTGGGAGTTTGAGGAAATAGTGTCCTTGAAGTGGGAAGATCAAACTGATACCCACCCACCCACCCAGCCCCGCCACCCAAGCATCCGTGCCAGGAGTAAATCTGATCCACAGCTGTAGCTGCAAGAAACATAAAGAAGAATAAAAATGAAAACCTTCAAAAAATTTTTAAAAGAAAATGAGAATCCTCAAATCTTACGTAAGGGACAGGGTAATTTTTGGGGAAAGATTCATTAGCATTTAAATAACAAGCTCCATTTATTGAAGCTCTACTTAAGAAGTCCATCGTACCTGGAAGATACTTAGCCTCCTACCCGTGAGAATATTTTTCTATCTCTTTGAGGACCTCTCTCCTAGCATTTCAGTGGAGAAACACAATTATCATTCATACCTTGCTGTCCAGAGAGCTTGGCGCTCGAGCATAACCTGGGCTTTGGGTTCATATTTACATTCAGCTCTACATTAAATGTAAATTTACATTTACATTCTAATCAAGGCAAAAAAAAAAATACATCTTCCAATAAAGTCTTCTGTGGAATTTTGCAAGTAAGGGATGAAATGTGTCTTAAAATCAATGCCCCAAAGAATATGCACCAAGATGAAGCATTTTGATGACCCAGGAAATCTTAAAATATATTGATTTGGCTGTCATTTTAATGCTTCTCTCCAGCACTGTAGAATGATGGATTCGGTTCAAAGTCCAATAACTAGAATTTGCAAAGAGGAAAATCCTCCATTTGAAAAGAAAGTCCTTTCACCCCTTTCAAGTGTCTTGCCTCCCGTGATCCAAAATGGCATTACAAAGGACTCAGTGTCACAGGGACACTGTATTAAATACTTAGGTGTCCAGGGTGGGGACCTCTGGGTGGTCAAGTGCTGGGCAATCTCTGAACCAATCCATGGCGTCTTGGGCTCCCTACTTACCACTTAATAGCTGTGTCACTTCTCTCTGAGCGTCCGTTGCCTCATCCATAAAGTGACCCTGGGCTATGTGTGTTCATCCAGGGGACTCTGTATACCAGAGATTATCATAGGCTCTGTGAATGGACCCAAGGATGAACACCTGACCCCTGCCCTAGAGAGACTTCCAGGCCCACGAAAACACATTAGTAAGTCATTGTCCCAATGCCAAGTGTTGGCCCTCTCTCTGTTGATCTTTTGATCCTGCTTCATTAGTGCTGAGCAGTAAATATCGACTGCGGTGTTGAGAGGTGGCCAGACCATTTTGAAATATAACTGCATAAGATTCCTTTTTGAGAACAAGAGAATTCAATGGTGGAAAAAGCTCCATCTAGGACCTTATGTGGCCTTCAAGCTGGAGCCCAAGAAAAATCAGTCCAGGTCACCGAACCTTTCCCTTATTCCACAAAATTCCAGAAAAGACAGTGTTATGGTCCACTCCAGTGTCCAGCCAAAGAGCTGAACTAAGAACTCTGTCCACCTCATTGACCTGCTGTCTTTGGTTCCAGATTTAGAGAAAATGAAACCCATCTGGCACCTGCCTCTATATATGTAAATCTCTGTTTTTGAAGACAGCAGACATATAAAATTCAGACACTGATAAACCGTGTGTGCTCTGCATTGAATGACCCATATCTTTGAACTTTGACAAAGTTCAGACAATTCTGTTGAAAAGCTATGTTACCATACGCAAAAAACTAAGAGAGTATTCAGACAAAAAGGTATCATCCTCCTGGTCTAGGAACTTGCAATTTAGTTGATGAGTAAAACAGTCCTACTCAAGGGAATGAGTAAATACAAAACCACAATAACACTGTATTGTTTCCTAGAGCTGCTATTACAACATACCACAAACTGGGGTGGCTTAAAAGAACAGAAATTTATTGTCTCACCGTTCTGGGGCCCAGAAATCCAAATGCAAGGTGTCAGCAGAGTCCCGCTCTTTCTGAAACCTGTAGAGAAGTGTCCTTCCTCGCCTCTGCCTAGTTTCCAGTGGTTGCTGCGGACAATCTTTGACATTCCTTGGCTTACAGCTGCAGCACTTCAATCTCTGCCTCCATTGTTCCACGGCTGTCTTCCCTCGGTGTGTCTGTCTCCTGTTCTTAGAAGGACACCACCCATGTTAGATTGAAGGCCACCCTACTCCAATCTGACTTTATCATAACTAATGACATCTGCCATGAACCTATTTCCAAATAAGGTCACATTCTGAGGTACTAGGGGTTAGGATGTGGACATTGAGTCTATAACTCCTGAGTCCAAATCTAATGTTCTCTCCCGCCCCCCACAGGACTTTTAAAAATGTTTACATTTCACAAAAATGTCTCAGACCATAAGAGAAAGAAAATGAATGCTCTGGATAGGGGCAGTCAGGGAAGGCTTCCTGGAGGCATGAATCCTGCAGGAGGGTCTTAGGGCTGGGTGGAGAGAACCACTCTCAACACTTGGATCACGACTGACCATACTCCTAGACACTAAGACATACATTATTCTTGGCTCTTCACAGATCCCACCACCAGGAGGAACGCAAAGGCAGGACCCACAGCAAGAAACCGGTATGCCAGCCAGTGGACCCTCAACAGACCCCACCCCACCATTTCAGCACACACCCTCACCACAGACTGGAGGCTGCCGACGCCCAGGGCTGCGGGATCAATGGACAAGGAGAGTGACAGCTACAGTGTCAGCCCTTCACAAGACACAGGTAGGGGTCTGCACGCCTCCTCCTCAACCCTGGGGACAAGCATGGCCCGCAGATGGGCTTCAGAGGCTCCTAATTATGCTCCTTCAAGGTCATTTTCAAATTGTTAGACTGTTTAAGTAACAGGTACCAATACAACCATGCAGCATTGATGATGCCCGGGGCCCAGTGATTTCTGCAAAGCAGAAGCAAAAGGCATCTATTTTGCAGGTGTCTTGAATCTCAGACTCATGGTCTTCTCTCCTTTCAGTTCCTACCCAGCTAAGAGAAACACAGATACTTTAAAATTTTCACCCACATGATTTCAAAAATTCCTGATTATACTCTGAGGGCACATGACCCACTACCATCTCTGGGTTTAAGAGGCTGCACTTGAAATTTCATGACAAGGTCATAGCACCCTCTATAGGGAACATAGGCTGATCCTTTTGACAATTAAGCAGGGGTTGATTATAAGGTAAGTCATCTAGTCTGTGCCATCAACAAAGATTTCACTTCGGAGAGAAGACAGGGCCTAAGAATAGCATCAGCTTGTCCCACCCCCCACCTTAACTTTTGAAAAGAAATTATATCTAAACCTAATAGCTGTAGGAAATTTTCATACTCATTTTCTTTTGTTCTGGCTGATACACTTTAAAAATAGTGTTCCAAAGGTGGAGTGTTACCCTGTACATTTATTTTTATGGCTGTTATTTCTCTCAGAAGAGTCTCAGAGTTCCACAGAGGTGATTCAAAACTTTTTAGTGCGTAAAATAGAGATTCCTCTGGCCAAGATGCTCCCCCTCCGGTCCTTGTGGCTCTCTGGGCCCCATAAAATGTGGCAGTCACAAAGGATGATCTGAGGGACCAGGGGCCATTCTTCCTACTGGCCAATTTCATGCGTCGTCCCGGGCTTCATTTGCAACCACCGTCACGTCCTCCTTGCCAAGCTGGGCCTAGAGGAGCCAAACTTCAGAGCTCAAACCATTCATGCCAATTAAAGTCTCTATGGAATAGGCTGATTCGCAAGTCAGAGCAGGGGGTGGACACCGCCGTCTGTGTACACCAAGTTCCCAATCATTTTAACGAAACACAGAATTTTTTTCAAAGATTTTTTATTTATTTATTTGACAGAGAGAGCACGCGCACAAACAGGGGGAGCAACAAAGGGAGAGGGAGACCCGCCACTGAGCAGGGAACCTGACGTGGGACTTGATCCCAGGACCCTGAGATCATGACCTGAGCCAAAGACAGGCACCTAACAGACTGAGCCACCCAGATGTCCTGAAACACAGAATTTTTTAAGCATTGCTGATTGACGGAGGCATCCAGGCAGGGAACAATTCCACTGAAACCAAGTTCTCTGAGCCCACTTTACCGAGGCGCACAGAGCAGGCCCCACGGTGACAAAGGCAGTTCTCAGTCAAAGACCCAGGACCCCTGCCAGGTAGTACAAGGATCTGGGAGAGACAGCCACAAGCCAGAGATGGCCATCCAGTGGGGCCATAAGGCAATAACTGATCCATCTTGTTCTCTCTTTTACACGCGGCAGATCGAGCGCGAAGCAGCATGGTCTCCACAGAAAGTGCCTCCTCCACTTACGAAGAACTGGCCAGAGCCTACGAGCATGCTAAGATGGAAGAGCAACTGAGGCACGCCAAGTTCACCATCACAGAGTGCTTCATATCAGACACATCATCTGAACAGTTGACGGCAGGGACAAACGAGTACACAGACAGTCTGACCTCCAGCACCCCTTCAGAATCGGGGATCTGCAGGTTCACTGCATCTCCCCCCAAACCTCAGGATGGAGGTCGAGTGATGAACATGGCGGTTCCAAAGGCACATCGGCCAGGTGAGAAAAGCAATGCATGGACCACTGTATGGGAGACACATCTTCCTGATTCACACCGTCTGCTATGAAAGCCTGTCCTGGTGTTTGGATTTGGGGCTCTGTTTACAGGTTGCTATGTAATGAACCACCCCAAAGCTCATGGGTTTCCAACAGTGACAGTCACTTATTTTGTTTACACAATCTGAAATGTAGTCAAGGCTTGGTGGGGACAGCTCATCTCTGCTCCAGCCGTGTCACTGGGGAGGCTCACTTAGGTATAGAGGAGCCCTTCCCAAACGGCTCCCTCACCCGGCAGCCTGGTGCTGGTCGTGTCCTCCCTGGGTGGGTTTCTCCCCAAGGTGGCTCCAGCTTCTTCATATCATGGCAGCTCGGTTCTAAAGCAGGCGTCCTGACAGGCAAACAATAGAAATAGCCAGTCTCTTAAGGCTGGGCCTGGAAAGTGACACATGGCTTCTGCCATATTCTGTTGTTCAAGCAATCAAAGAGCCCAAGGAGCTCAGGTTGGAGAGAGGGAGTCCCCATCATGTGATGAGAGGAGGCTCAAACACAGGGGGCCTTTGTTTTAAAGCTGCTGTACCAAGGACTTTCAGAAGGAGAGAGTTCTTACCAGTGGCCGATGCTTGGGCCTTGGTTTCATTGAGCTACCCAAAGTGACAGTGACTAGCTGGGATTTGGTCAGCCACTGTTCAATCTTTGCCTTGAGCCTGTGAGAGTGGACTGGGTGTGTGAGAGTACTTGGTGTGTGGATGGCAGCTCTGAGCTCTAAGGCCTGCAGGGCCTGGCAGATCACATGCGTAAGTGAAGAGGATGGGGAGCAAGGAGAAGGGGGATGATGCATGATAGACAGTTTGAGTTCACAGACTATCTAGAGGGGATAGACTCCAGTATGTTCCCGCCAACTCATCCCAAGTGGAAATGGGGGTCAGGATGAGTGACTTTCTCAAGAGAAGCCAGAAATCTTGGTTTTTCCATGGAGACCCACAGTTTTCAAGTATTGGATCAGGTATCTGCAAACCATTGTAGAGGGCAAATAAATACATCTATATACTGAATCCAACCATGGCAGCCAGTGGTACTTCTCATCTGAAGAATCACTCCTTCTTCTTCTTCACCCTGAAATAGCTGCCAAAGACTTTCCTTTGTGGACCAGCCTATCCAGTCTTTCCTCTGTGGACCGGCCTATCCAGTCTTGTTGAATCCAGTTTTATTTCCTCTTTTCCCATTTTCTGAACCACTCTACTAGTCTTATTTCAAAAATTTATCTTCACATTTAAATTACTGCAATTCCCTTGGGTTTTATGGCATATAGCCCAGCTGAAATGAGCCTTATAAATGCATAAAAATATATAAAATAAGAATTGTCTATCCAGCAACTAATCTTCCAAACGGAGTCAAGATTCATGCCAGCATACAATAAAGAATGATGGCTTCATTTATTCTCATTCTGTCTACCTCCTCAGGGAGAAGATGAGCTGTTATTTGTGGGTGTTTTTATTTCAGGCATTTCTTGTTGTTGGCATTTATTTGCAAGGCAAATGCAGAAAAACATAGGATAAAAACATAAGCTCTTTGTGGCTGTTAAGCCCGAGGTGGAGGAACACAGGAAAGGAGAAAATGTGCCTCTGGGCATGTTGTTTAGTCTTGGTGGCCTTCAGTTGCCCCACCTGTAAAATGGGCATGACCCTGGTGTGAGACATGTGTAGCATAATTTAGGTAAAGTGGTTAGTGTTGTTGTTTCTGTTTTTGCCTTATTGACGCTGTTGTTGGGATTCTCATGGTGACTCCGGTGTGGACTCCAGTTGAGCTGCTGGCTCCTCTCCTCCTTCCCTCTTTTGTTTGTTTCTCTTCAGAGGTCACAGACATCCTGGGAAGCATTGCTTCATTTGGGTATCACCCAGCTAAGTACACCAAGCTTCCATCGGCAGCCATCTTCCCTCGTATACAGGAGCTCCTGCGTGAAATGATAGTCTTATTTGTGCAAGCTTTGAATTAATTAAAGGCTTGAGTTTCTTTTTGATGTCTTGTTGTTCCTCTTGTTAGATTCAATTACAAAAAATTTTTGAACTTCTTTTTTTAAAATTTTACTTTATTATGTTATGTTAGTCACCACACAATACATCAGTAGTTATTGATGTGGTGTTATGACGTTGTTGCCTGGATCCATCAGAACAACTGAAAGATCACAATTAACTGAAGTAGTATAGTCTTAAAATGCTATTTAGACTAAAATGACTTTATAACTTTAGGTATGAGTCACTTTTTAAGTCAACACAAGTCCTAATGTCCACAAACTTTGTTTTGTCCATCCTAAATGACTGTATTATTATTAATGAATATTTGATATGCTTTTCGGAAAGCCTTCCTATTGTCCCTTTATAAGACTAAATTCAACACCAGGCAAAAAAGCCAAGGTTACAATTTACTATTCTGCTGACTGGAGGCTGCATCAGAATCATCAGTTCCTTGAGCTGCGCTTTCAAACCTCATTCCTACCTGTGTCCCCGTGGCTCTAGAAGGCATTGATCGGCATGCAGCTCAACGGAGTCTTCCCAGTCCCTGTACATCTTTCTCCTCACCATCGGCTCTTCCTGTGTGATGGTCTTTTCCTCCATTTGTGGTCCAAAACTTTTAAACACTCCACAAATCAAGTCAGGATCAAGTTAAATCAACGTGGCCAGATCCTGGCTCCAGGAAGACAGAAAACACGTCTTCATTGCCTTCCTACTTCTCTCCCCGATTACCTCTAGCGGGTAATCTGGCAATACAGTGAGCACTCAAGAAATATTTTAAATGACTTAGTAGCACTGAATATGTGCTCCTATCACTGTGTCTGATACATATAGTAGGTGCTTAATAAATATATTGAATGAATGCATCTATCATAGTTGTAATGATGACAAGACTAGCCAATTGGTTAAAACATGGCAATTATTAGAAATTCTTAGTAAAATATAAGAGAACATTCAAGTCGACCCCATCTTCCAGCTTACCTTTAAACAAAGTGATTTATTTTCTATTCTTGCTCTTCACAAATCAAAAGGAAACCTCTTCCACAGATAAAGGGAAGCTACCCACGAAATGCGGTGCCTCACACAGAAGGCAAACATCAGAATCTCACTTTAGATGCTTAACAGTACCTGAATTTTGAATTTACTGAATTTTTAGGGCTTTTTTATTTTAAATAAAATGCCAGTTGTGCTATGGTTTCATTTTCTATAATAAGGGGTGGTTATTTCCATCTGTAATAACAAAAGACAGACCAGACAAACAAATAAAACTCTATCTTCCTCTGAGAAATAGCTGGAAGGTTAAGCAACTTCTTTCCCTCTCAGTCAAGGCAACTTCCAATACTTAGGTTACGGTACCTGTTCTTGGGTTCAGGTAGCTTTCTAAGCCAGTTTCTAACATTCTTGGATTGTGGCTGCTCCTTTATTCATGAGTTTATCCTATGCAATCAAGAAATACCCTTGCCTGAAGCTACTTAAATCAATTTAAAGCTTCACATATGCAACCGAATGCATCCTGGCCCCATGAGCAGCAGAAGTGTCAGCCCCTTTAGATCTCTGCACTCACACTCTGGGACCCCAGCCTTAAATATATGTTCATTAGTCCCTCCTGTAATGAACACACTTGAGGTTTTCCAGTCGGAAAGGATCACAGACTGCTGCCAACTTGTTGGTTCTCTGAACAACCAGTTCCCTGAAGCAGTTTTTGGTTTGCAGTGTTCAGATCCATTCACGCCATCCCTCACAATCTTCTGCATGTGTGCATTTAATAGAATGGAAGAGTGTGGAGTGAGAGGTGCTTACCTGAAGGACACACTGGCCTCCGCTCCAGCAGCACCCTCCAACGAAAGCTGCTCTTTCGGTTCTCAGCTGTCACTGTGATCGTGCTGTTTCCCCCTCTGAAGCCCATGTGGTTTTCATGCTGGCTCTTGAATCAGAATTAGACTCCAGAGATCTTCACTGCCAAAAATCCCCCTCCACAGCTTCTTTCTACCTGCATCTCCCTTGCCACCTGCGGACGTGAGCTCTGCTCCCTGCAGGTCACCTAGCGCAGATTCCCTCCTCCTGACCCAAGGCGCCACACTGGGTTCCTCTCAAGCAGTTCTGTATCTCCCCTCCCCTCGCCCCTTTGGGCTGGGCGACTGGGGTCCCATGCCTCGGATTTTGCATCCTTCTCCTCTTTTTTGCACTCATTACAATGAGATTTTGAAATTTCCATCATGAATGTTATTCTAAGAGCTATGGAAAGGGTCTCCTTTCAAGTGCAAGTATCTTTGATACTTCCTCATGGACACAAACAGGTGTGCACACCATGCATGCATATGCACACACCATGCACACTCTGCTGCTCTGGCCTCCATCCTTCCAGAGATGCCTCTGCTTCTTCCCTCCCAGCCTCCCAGCCCCCTTTCTAACTTCAGCATGTCTTTTTTGAGCTCCCACTCAATAACTGGTCCCGCTTTCAGAGCTGGAGATACAGTGATAGACGAGACTCACAAAGACCCCATCTGAAGGGAGTTTATATTCCCGGTGGGGGAGACAGACACTGATCAAATAAGATAACACAGTTTCAGATCATGATAAGTGCTGGGGAAAGAAGTAATTGGGGAAGGGGATCAAGTCTGGCATGGGGTCGGGGGTTGGGAATAATGGTCTAGGAAGGCCTCTTGGAGCAATGAATTGTGAGCTGAGATCTAAGGTGAATGGGGCAGAGAAAGCCCAGCAGACATCCTAAAGAGACAGTGGTGTGGGCAGAGGAAGAGCTAAGGCAGGAGATTGGAATGAGCTTCACATTCACCACCCAGAGCAACAGTTAGCTCTGAGCTGACAAACTTTCAAATACTCCCATAGTATTTAAAGTTAGAAGGACCTGGAGGCCATGAACAGCACCTCCGAATATTGCTATGCACACCTGCCCTGGGTAGACCTACATATTTCACCATGCCCATCCTGGCTCACTGCTAGGAAACTGATCTCTTTAATGTGCATTTTTGA